TACTGAAACACAAGGGAACAGGCTGAAAGCTTTACATATGGGGGATGAGGGGAGGACAACTAGACACAGGTGAAACTAATCAGGGCAGGGCAGACAATCAAAACTGTCAAAGACAGGAAGTGAATATAACTAAATAAAACAGGAAAGAACCAAACCAAACCCAAAATCATGAAACTGTTTTTACTGAACATAACAGCAAAATGCTCACTGACAACTTATTTCATTAGTTTACCTACAGTATCACCATAAACATGATTAACATTTTTATGGTTTTGCTTCAGAAACTCAAACACTAGGGTTAGGGAAAGGTGGTGTTCTTGATTGAATATAGAAAAGTCAACACTGACTGGATGTGTTTACTTATCATTTAATTCTTGTATTTAACCACAACCACAATCTTTTTTTCACACTGAGTGTAATGCAGGCAGCAATTACGCTTTGTCTTAAATCTTATTTGGCAAAAGTTAGTAATTTCTAGCAGACAGTCCTCGCAGACATGGGCAGATGGCGAAAGTATCATTTGCTTAGACGCATAGATGAGTGGGGAGAGTCACTGCTTTTAACTATATTGGTCGTCATTGTCTTAAGGACTGGTTGTAAAGAAGAAGTCGGGTCTTATCTATAACAAACGGGTGACAAATGAAGGGAAAAACCTTAACAAATGAGTGGATAAACATAACAAAAGCAGATGCTTCCACACAGCTCCACTGCATGGTACAATGAAGCAATTAACATCCAATCATGCTCTGTTAAATGAATTAAATGCTGAGCAGCTGATTCTGATTTTGTCAGAGGCATATTACAGAAGGGTTGCAGTGCATAAACCCCTCATTAGATGACATGATGATGCACATTATGAGTTCAGTGGTGCAATAATCACATAGGCTCTGGTCTACAGAGATGTGGACAAGTGATATGGTCAGGTAAGTCATCCTTCACCATGTTCTGGACAAGTGGACAATGTGTCATGTACACCAAAAGAAAGGCACATGGCTTAATGCTTGACCCCTACAGTGAGGGGATCCAGTGGCCTGTTTATCTTTGCTGGCATTAGTTTGGGTCAACTGTCCCCCTGTCCCCATTATGCTTGATTCTTGCTTATCAGTCCAGTTCTTTGTCTGATCTCCTTATTAATTCCTGAATAAAATTTTCTGTGGTGGAGTAAAAGTAGCCTAACTTAGGTTTTCCAGTGTCATAGCAACTTTTTTTGTTAGTCTTGTTGTTTGCGGGGGGGGGGGGGGGATTTACTTGTTTAGTACCGGATACTCAGTCAGTCGAGTACTCAGCTTAACCCTATTCAGGACTAGTTGAGACCAAGGCCGAGTCCAAATCAGAGAGAGACAGAGTCAAGCCCGAGGCAGAAAAAAATGCTTTAGCCATTGCCAATGATATGACTTTTGGAAGCCAGGCATATGATTGCAAGTGA